CAAATCTGCGCATTGGCCCAGAGCATCTATGCACCAAGTTTCATCAAAAACTGATGTATGGTTCTTGAGATATCAGTGGAACAGACGGATATATATACATACACACACACACACACACACACACACAGACACACTAACTGCAAAGACTCCCCTTTTTGTGCTTCGCACACGCGAGTAAAAAATCAACCATTTCTAGACTGTTTACAGATGGATTATGTTCAAAATTGGTATATACATTAGACATTATGGGACCTTGATGCAAATAATTTTTTTTTTCCAGATAAGATTCAAAATGGCCGACTGGTGGCCATTTTGTATTAATGAATTTGGTTCTCGTGCCATATCTCTGACTTGCTTTCACTGATTATTTTAGATATTCATTATACATCATGTCATAGATCCTATTCAAAATGGCCGAATGGTGGTCATTTTTGTGCTAACAAATCATCAAATATCAAGCATTTATGGGTGGAGTTCGTTCAAACTTGGTACATAAATTAGACATTACGGATTCCTGATGCTCGTCATTTTATTTTTCAGATTGGATTCAAAATGGCGGACTGGCGGCCATTTGGTTTTAATGATTGGGCTTCTAGATCCATATCTCTGACTTGTTTTGACTGATAATATTTTCAAATTTTAAATATTCATTATACATTAAATTTTATATATTCATTATACATCTTGTTATATATATACATGTATTCAAAATGGCTGATTTTGAATGCTGTTCCAGAGCAATTTCTCTCAATATGGACAAGTACTTGTTTGACGATCAGATACAAATGTCAATCATTTTAATGTTAAAAAAATCATATTCCTGACATGGTTATATTCCAGCTATATTACTATAAACACAACTATATATTTTAAATTTGATAACTAACGGGGACGGTGCCATGCATGTCTTTTCTCTGTTTTCATTTGCCCAACCATATAGCCTCAGTTTTCAATTTATTTACTGCTAAACCTGATATTATCCAAAAGTGTTTAAGTTTCTCAAACAGACGATGACAGGATAGTACATCCCTTAAAAAGCATACGCAGCTCCCTTAACCTCCCCTTGGCCGAACCCTTCAATATTCGGATCATCACGCATTGAACTCATAAAAATTTCTAATTCCAAAATAAAAAGCATGGGTGATATGGGATCCCCTTGCCTCACACCTCTGTGAAGTGGGAAATAGCCAGTGCTTGTACCCTTGTGCATGTCACAACTAGAAATATTTTTGTACAGTACTTTGATTTTCTGAATGAAGTCAGTTCCAAAATTGAAGGATGCCAGTGTTTTGTATAGAAAATCCCATTCAACTGTGTCAAATGCTTTTTCTATATCAATAGTCAATAAAATGCCCGGTATTTTTTGTTTATCTGAATAATCTAGAATGTTTTCAACCAATCTCACCCCATCCCCAATGAATCGATTTGTCACAAAGGCAGACTGATTTTCATGTATGAATGAAGGAAGAATTTTTTGGCCAGGCATTTTGTACCAATCTTGAAGTCTGCATTCAGCAATGAGATTGGTTGCCAATTTTTCAAAAATTTCCTGTCCTTTCCTTTCTTTTCCAATAAAGTGATTAGCCCTTGTTGTTGTGTTGGGGATAGCTGGCCCTTCTCAAAAGCAGTATTCAATGAATTAACCACAAAGTTTCCAATAAGACCCTAAAAACACTTGTAGAAGTCAATCAGCATTCCACAACTTCCTCGCGTTTTATTTGCAGGAAATGTTTTGATTGCTTTATGGGCTTCCTCATAAGTAATACAACCCTCACAAACTGCTGCTTGGTCCTCTGAAAGTGTTTTGATGTTAGGGGTTCCGAGATATGATGCCTGACAAGCAGTAAAGTTTTCTATGGAAGTGTCCAGCCCCGAGGAGGATAGCTTAGTATAAAATGATTTAATCTCTGCATTAATATCCTTTTGTGATGTGATTGCTGAACCATCTGTTTTTATTAACTTATTTATTTGTGATCTTTTATTGTTAATTTTTTCCAATTGCAAAAAATAGTTAGTATTTTTCCCCCCCATTTCCACCCAATTTGCCCTGGATCTTATTATTGCACCATCCGTAATTTTATCTTACTCGCCCTGCAGTTCCTGCTTGATTTTGTCATGCTGCTGCACTCCATTTTCAGTTGGATTTTCCCCAATTTGTGATTCAATATTTGCCAGCTTTTTTTCCAGATTTGGAATTTTTTATTTCCTAGCATTAATTTTTTGTTGACTGTACTGTATGGTTATTTTTTTAATACAGTATTTCAGCCAATCCCATAAAGACCGTGCATCACTCAGTACCGACCCTTCCCCCACCCAGTCTGGAAAATTTTCCTCAATTAACTCAATATAGTCAGAGTCCCTCAACAAACTAGTGTTCAACTTTCAATAGGAAGGCCCTTTGGTTGTTTCTTCATATTGAATATTTCGACTAACTGCAGAGTGGTCTGACAAGTCACAGGGAACAATAGAAGACTTCTAAATGCAACCCATAAGGGCATTATCAATAATAAAATAATCTAAACGACTTTGCACTATTTGTGGGTGAAAACATTTCCAAGTGATTTTGTTTGGATGGAGTGCCCTCCACACATCAGTTAAGTCCAAAGCCTCCATGAATTCAACTAGTAGATCGTTTGATTTGCACCATGGCTGAGGGTTTTCTCCTTTCCTATCCTTATTGATATCAATTACCAAATTATGGTCACCACCCCATAACAAACACACTTCTGGGTCTGACATACCATCTTGGATCTCCTTAAGTAACTTTTTTAAATATATTGCGTGCTCTTTTTCCAAAGTGGGGGCATAGGAATTTATAATCAAAAAATGCTTACCATATAATGTGACATCCAGGATCTGACCGTCTGGGTCAGAGGTCACCTTTTGAATCTCATAGTCAATGTTTTTAAAAAATGTCATCACCCCCCCCTTGCTGTTGATGAACCATGGTTGAACACCAAATTTCCCGAAATTGGCTCTGCCATTTACTTTCACACTGTGCTGTGCTATGGGTTTCTTGCAACATTATGATATCGCTGTCCTGTTTAGCCAGCCAATTACAAACTTGCTTACGCTTCCTGAATTGGCCAATTCCCCTAACATTCAAAGTCAGCCACCCCTTTGAACTAACCTTCTAAATCTAAGAATTCACCCTCCCCAATTTTCCCCAGTATCATAATTGTACCGATGTTCACAATCAGTCAATTTTGTCTTTTATCCACTCGTCGCTATCGCATGGTTTTCCATCAATTTAGAATTGCTCGTTCTGAAATCTTGGTCTTCTGCCTTCCCGCCATATTTTTTGCATAGTTGGAATCATGCTTCTCTTTCTTCTGTAGTCTTCATCACAGAGATCTTCTTTTACATATATTTCAGTTCTGTTCAGTATTTTCCTTGATGTGGACAACACAGCCCATCTGTCCGGGCGGTAGATAAATCTTGCAATTATGGCCCGAGAATTACTTTTCGGGGGGCCCTTGGGGATTCGATGTGCGTTTTGCACGGTCTTGGGATCTATACCAAATTTTTCACTCACCATTTCCCTCTCAGTGCTCAGAGCATTTTCTTTTTCTTTCTCCTTGATTCCATAAAATCTCAAATTTATACTGCTGGAATGTCTTTCGTTTCTAAGACTTGATTATTTTGAACCTTTATTTTCAGTTTCTAGCTCGTGAATCTTTTTTTTCAGGTGATCAATTTCCTGGACGTTTTCCCCTCCGGTGTTCACATTGTATTCTACCGTTTTCTCTGTGCTTCATTTTAGAACAGTGATCAGCTTAGTGATAATCTTCAGAGAATAGCTTCTTGACCATCCCCCTTTTTGGCCTCCTTCGCACTCGACTTCGACGCCACGTAGGCTTCCATAAGTTTCTTTTCCTTCAGTTTTTTCACTTTTCCTTTGTATTCTGAGTTTTCTGTACCTTTACACTTCTATCTCCTATGTTTCCAGTGGAGGGCGTCTTCTATTCCTTCAGAAACTTTTTAACAAAGTGGGGCAAATGTAGCGTGGTTGCTCACACAAACATGGTCACGTGCCTCTGCAATATATATCTTTGCAAAGATTGCCTTCTTTCCTACCACCATGAGGCAACCGGCAAGTACCAGCAAGCATTGAAAAATGACACAGACTGAAGTTGCAGATCAGGCAGAGGCAAGGTACCTGTGGGACGGTAGACGTCAAAATGCTAGAGATGACAGACAGCAACACAGAAGAGCCCCTGTAGCTGTCCGAGGCAGAGGAAGATGACATGGTAGAGGATGAGCAAATTACAGAAAATAAGGACACTAATTATAAGGACACTTATAGGCTGGACCCCAGGAATGAGGGGAATTAGTATATTATATATATACATGTATATGTAATTCAATTGAAATTACATTGTTATATTATTGTGTATTACAGAACTATCATAAAAGATAGAAGAAAACTATATTTATGTCATTTGAAGAGTATTTTTTTCATAGTCTGATTACAGGGAATGATGTGGAGCAAAGCCTTAAATCACCCTAGTTTTAGTTACTGGTATTTGTGAACACTAGCCTCCATAGTTGAATTTAGTTGTAGAAACCAGTAACCCAGTTTCAATTTACTTGTAGTCCCTGCAGCCCAACTATAATTTACTTGTTGTACCCGTAACTCAACTATAATTTACTTGTTGTACCCGTAACCAACTATAATTTACTTGTTGTACCCGTAACCCAACTATAATTTACTTGTAGTACCCGTAACCCAACTACAATTTACTTTTAGTACCTGTATCCCAACTACAATTTACTTGTACATGTTACAGCTCAAGTCCAATAAATTTGTAGCAATGCTTACCCAACTTTAATTAATTTGTAGTTACTTGTACTCAAATGAAATTAGGTAAGTTGTAACGTAATACTCAAGTACAACTTAGTATGCAACTTTGCACCCATTTCAAATGAGTCACCATAGAAAGTTTTACTTGGGATAAAATGTGTGTACCCCCCTGGGAGAGAGAGGATTAATGACTTACATGTGGTTGCTGCGTTCCAGGTGCTACTGAGGGTCCTATTCTCAGGAAATCATCTGGCAATGCTCCAAGTAAAGGTGGGTTCCAGTTCCGATACTTATTTGCATTGAATAGAAGTTTTGGTGATGGAGAGACAGGCTCAGGTGTGGGGAGTGTTAGAATGAATTTTGATGATGGAGGAGATACACCAGGGTAAGTAGATGGGGTACTGTGCTGTGCATGGGGTGTGTATGCTGGCGGTGGCTCATCATCATCTGAAGTAGGTTCAAATACCTATAAGTTAAAAATAAAAAATGTTTGTCAGGACAACCAGACACCTGCCTTGAATCATGTTAGTTCTGGTTTGATCAGCAACCAATCAACACATGGGTTATAGGGTGGTTTCTGATAAGACATGCATTAGCTAACTGAAACATAGGCCTATCACAGAATCTGAATACAGTTAGAAATAGTCAGATCTAGTTTGAGACAATGCACAACCGCAATTACAAGAAACCTACACAAGATTTTATTCTTGAAATTTGAATGAAATTTTTTGTAAATTAAATAATATTAAAAGTAGAAAAAAGATGTATTAAACATTGTTCAAAATAATATGCATTTCAGTATTGAAATACACGAGAAATAACTAATTTGACACTAAATCTTGGTAACAAATTTGATTCACTATCCCAACCCAATTGCTTAACCTACTTACCTGTGGTGGTAATGGTTCATCTTGTCCTAAAGTAGCTTGCCGCATTTCTTCTTCTGACATATCTACATTCATAGCTAATAACTGATCAATAGTGGCATCCACAGCACCATTATTAGCTCTAAGTACTGCTTCAATCACATCATTCTCCATCTTAGGGAACATGGTCTGAAATATGATTACAAGATATCCAATAAGAATCAACCAATAAGAATGTTCCATTGTAGTTCTGGTACTCTATGTAAACTAAATGTTCTATACTCAGTCTGAATTGTGTCCTGGGATCAAGTCAATCTATGCTGCCATAAATTCTTTCTCAGGCTTTTATTATAAAAACATAATGCAAAAATCACAGAAAGCATAGAAAACAAGTCATTGAAAATGACACAGTCCCCGTTAAAAGTTCTCTTTGAGCTCGTCATATTAAAGCGGAGGGGTTGTCGCGAACGTGTCCTTGAAACTTGAGTTCCAAGTGGCGTATACAACAGATTGTTTATTTACATCAAAACACGTGTTCCGTGTAGTAGTAATACGGCCAAAAATAAAAACAGCCGTTATTCGGCCTTCTTTGATCTGATTATGAAACAAATTGTCATGGACATGTATAAAGTACATGTATGTGCCAAATTTGAATGAAAACTGACAGAGCACGTCCAAGATACCGCATATAAAACAAGCAGCCTGTCGGCTGAGATAGCTCCGCTGTTAGCAATGCACATGGCAATTAAAGAACAGAAGATATCATTAGAAAATGAACAAATCTGAGAGAGGTCCACATGTAGTACCTATATGTATAATATATCAAAGCAATTGGACTTGCGGTTTTCAACAAGGAGTCGAAAATATCACTTTTTACCAAAAATATTCATCAAAATTAGAGAATTAAAGATATCATCATGAAATGAACAAATCTGAGAGAGGTCCACATGTAGTACCTATATATGTAATATCAAAGCAATTTGACTTGCGGTTTTCAACAAGAAGTCGAAAATATCACTTTTTAACAAAAATTACAAAAATATTCACCAAAATTAGAAAATTAAAGATATCATTACAAAATGAACAAATCTGAGAGAGGTCCACATGTAGTACCTATATATGTAATATCAAAGCCATTGGACTTGCGGTTTTTAACAAGAAGTTGAAAATATCACTTTTTACCAAAAATTACAAATATATTCACCAACATTAGAGAATTAAAGATATCATCATGAAATGAACAAATCTGAGAGAGGTCTACCCAAGCTACATATATACCAAGTATCAAAGCATTCAGGTTTTTGGTTTTCAAGAAGAAGTCGAAAAAGTAAAACATTGACACGGACGACGACGGACAATCACTCATATGATAAGCTCCACTCGACAAAGTCGACAGCGGAGCTAAAAAGATGCCTACCAGTCGACCATCTTTGATCCAATTGCGAAATAAATCGTCATGGACATGTATCCTAACATGTATAATATATGTACCAAGTTTGAATGACAACTGACAAAGCATGTCCAAAATACAACATTTAAAAAAAACAAGATGGCTGCCAGTCGGCCATTTTGAATCGAATCGCTAAACCACTGCATGTGCATATGTACCACATAAGGTACTAGGCACATGCAAAGAATGAACGGAATCGGTCCACGGGATTCCGAAATATGACTCTGGACAGACTGACGGACGGACGGACTCAGGAAGTCACGGACGGTCGGGGGCATGTACATGTATCCTAACATGTATGATTTATGTACTAAATTTGAATGAAAACTGACAAAGCATGTCCAAAATACAACATTTTCAAAAAACAAGATGGCTGCCAGTCAGCCATCTTTGATCCAATTGTGAAATAACTCGTCATGGACATGTATCCTAACATGTATAATCTATGTACCAAGTTTGAATGAAAACTGACAAAGCATGTCAAAAATACAACATTTTCAAAAAACAAAATGGCTGCCGAACGGGACTAAAAATCTGTAATGTGGTTATTGGAGGCTAGCCTGACAAGTTGGCATAGGAGGCGCCCTGGACTGCTGCGAACCCCACCCACGCCTGACAGAATAGTGTAGTTTTTTGTCGGCAACTTCAAAACAGAAACTCCACACCCAGATCTAGAATCTGTGACGTAGATATGAATATTTATTTTAGTAGTCATGGTAATTCTGTCAGTCACAGATTACAACATGCTAAATATAAACAAATGCCACTGGACATTACATATGATAAAGATAACACGTTAACATGCTTATGAATATTTACTTCACTAGTGAATATTCCAGGACGAAGACAGAGCAACCACAAAATTACTTCGGGGAAGACCACTTTGGAACTTACTCTGGACCAGACATAGTGTGCAATTTGCAGTACCGATGTGTCAAGTCAACCGAAAACCGATATTTTCCAACTCTTCTACATGTAGTTTTTCGTCAGACACGATCTCTGCTTTGAATAACATCTTTTCCCGTTTCCTTGGAAAGAGAAAACCACAGTGGAAGTTTGTGCAAAAAATGTTTTGACAACTTGCACAGTACAGTCAGACCTCGCAAAAAGGTGGAAAGTCTGGAGAATGAATGACCTGAGATCATGTGGTGTGATCGTGCTGTGACGATCTTATCAAAGCAGCAGAAATCCCGTAATTTGCACATCACCTAACTTGGTCTCCCATCAGAGATATTAAAGGGAAATAACCAATATTATCGAGCCAGAACTTTCAGACAAAATGTTGAATGCTTTTGGCACCAGCGAATAAATCAGTGATTTCCCAAAGCCAGTTGGTAGAATAATTAACGCATCATCACCCCGATACAGTGACTCAATTTTTTTTGTTTTTGTTCAGACTTCAACTGGATGTTAAATTTGCTCTCAAGTTCAACAATAGCCTGTTTGATAGAGTTCATGATTACGACGAATAAAGTGAAGTGGCTGTTTGATTAGGTTGAAAAGTAAACTGGTACTTGCCTCCACAGCAACTTGACACGTGCTGTCAGCAACATCACACATACATTACAACGAGTTCGTAAACAGTGGACAGGAAGACGATCAGATGTGATAAGTTGTTGTCTCAACAATCGCAACGCTTCGTGAATGGTTAAATTATGACGGATGTCAAAATCAACAGTTTCTGAAATCTGATTGGTGCTGACAAAATGTTGTCGGAGAAACTACACTATTCTGTCAGACGTGGGTGGGTGGGGTTTGCAGCAGCCCAGGGCATACAAATATTAAAAATTCAACATTTAAAAATAAAGTGGAGATCACATACATGTATGCACCATGCTTCAATGAAATCAGATGAGTTGTTCTCAAGATACCTACAGTACAGCTTAAAACTAGCTTATTTATGTAAGTCAGACAAATCCAGTATACCACATACACTGACAGATAAATGATTTCATGTGTCAGATTTTAAGTCCTTCCCACAATAAAATGTCAGACTTCATTTCCAAAAAGAACCTGTATATTTGGATCCCACTTTTTTGTAATAATTCAAGGTAAAACATTAACAAAATCTTATATATCTAAAAAAGTTCATGCGCCATCTGGTTTCATTTTTATAGCATAGTTCGTTCATAGTACATAGATTGGTGAAACTTATAGCACTCTGACCATATTGGGCCATAATGTTCTGACACACCAGCATTTGTGATGCAGTATATACATATATTGATACAACTAGTTTACAGCATTTGAGTTTAAACATGTATAAAATTTGCTCTCTGATTGGTCTGATTATTATGAATTTGTGTTGAGTAACTAATTAGACACAATCTTATAAGTAGCTATGCATTGAATTCACATCCAGTTTTAAACATACAGTACTCATTCTGCCCAACCTCCCGCTTTTATCGCTTTTTTTCCCCGACCGATTACCGTGTAATTTCTGACCGTTTGCTGCTTTACGACTGGAAACCGACCGCCTTTTTTTCACTCGCTCGCTCGCTTTTGTTTGCTCGCTCCTGCTATGGCTGGCTTCAGAAACATTGTCCGCTTGCCAACCAACCGCTGGAGTAACGATGATCGTACATTGTATGTATAAACTTGTGTTTTTAATCGTAATAAATTTAGGTTTTAATGACGATTCAAAATACAACGCGTATTGCTTCTCTGTAATGGGAAGGGGACAAAGATGCCTTCAAATCACTTGACACATTGTAACGTTTGCTACGCAAGTCGAACTGTGACCTATATTTACATATTTACGTCCTTGTGTGTGTAGTTCAAGCAGCTACATGTATATAACTGGTCAATCAATCGTATTGTATTGATATGTATTGAGTACTAGTATTTGTGTGTTGTGTGTGTGTTTTTGTGTGTGATTTTGACTAAATTTATTCCAAAGGGCGCTCAAAATATTTTGACACTTTGTTATTTGCGAACGCAGCTCACACTATGACCCTTACTCAATTTGCCTTAGAATGCTGTAGTTCAGAAAATCTATCAAGTTAACTTTTGCTCATGTCTGGTTGCGCAAAACAAAACTGTACATATAATCATCGCATAGCTGAATTTCTACAAATCAATTGGACTTAAACTACTAGTATAATGACTGTGACGATTAATCGCTTGTCTGAGTACATGCGTCAACGAATTATTGGATTGGCAGTAGCCGGACGAAAAATGAGAGAGGAAAACATAAAACAAAACAAACTCAGCCAGTGATATATTTCGAAAATAAAAATACAAAATAAACGAAATCAGAGGCGCCGACCACGCATGTTGGGAATATATAAAACGTGTCTCATCAGACTCTTTCACTAAGGCAATATAATTATGCTATTTCCCAAAGCATTTATATTTAATGACGAAACACCGCAAGAAAATGTAAATCAGGCTTGTAATTACTTGTAACTCAACTCGGACGCAAAATTGATCACTGTAAAAGTGGATAAATTTGATGTTTAGAAAGACAAAAATATTAGAGTGCAACAAAAGTTAGCAGCAAAGAACGAGAAATGCATGTGGGAAAGCGTTGAGTGAACTCGAGGAAAATTATGCTTATGTGAGAACAAGCCATATACCACGCGGAGTACTCGCTAAAACATCGAGAAAATGTGCCATTTCAAAGGGCACCCTTACAAATAATGTGATTGTGTGAACATGATAACATGCAAACAAAAAACAGAACTCGTGGTCCACCAAGGAAACTTAGCGATGGCACAGTTAGATGTATACGGCTGTTGAAAACAAAGACTCTTTCGATCTTATATGAGCAGGTTCACGTGGATGTATCATTTTCAACTATTACCAACAACACTATGGTAATAAAGACTTTCCGTTTTCGACATTCTGAAACTCTTTTGTTTTTATGTCGAAAAATACAATATTTTTACCAATTAAAATCATATTTATTAAAGTTATTGTTCATACATGACTTGTCTGTAATATTCGTGTGTAATCAGTAATTATGAAAATAATTTATGGGTACATATCATTATGAATTATTCTTAATATAAATTTCTGAATTATCTTGTCAAAATCAGTTTTTTTTTCAGGCCCCCCCCCAGAAAAGACGAAAGAATTTCATAATGTCAGGAAAAATAAATTATTATTTATTGGGAACGAAAAGACTTTATCGTAGTGCTTCGCCTCGGTTGACAATGAGCTCTTTGGGTTGCTAAAACTGTATGTCCACCTCTGTGGGGGTGAATATTTGTATTATTATACCAAATAAATCTTAGAACAGAAATTGTGGCACTCAATCATGGCAATCTTCCAGGTCATCGTTAGAAAGTTTTTCGGAGGTAAATTTAATCTTGAAGGATTGCAGGAAATTGACCCTTACCGATTCATATTTATGAATTAATTGGGATTCAGGTACCATAGTGTTTGTAACTGAGTATTCCTAAAAATACGCAAAAAAAACCGAACTTTCGCTTGGGATTTTTCATGCAAACATTGACAATGGTTCCCCGACACTGATTCCTTTTTAACTTTCAATTTTTCCAAGACGCGGCAAACCCTGCTCATGATCGGAGACGTCGTCGAGATGCAGGTGCGATTCCTCTTCACAACGCGCTCTATATATTTCCAATGCACGTGGTCGGAGCCTTTGATTGCGTTTATTTTGTTCCTTTATTCACGAAATCTATCACTGACAGCGTTTGTTTTGTCGCGTCTCACAACTCTGTCTGACTTTGTTTTGGCTGTAAGTGAACTACGTACAGCTCATGGAAGTATTTCGCCCAGAGTTCGCAAAACGGAATACCCCGCAAAATTTGAATCCTTCATTTTATAACAAGACATTGGGCGCAAAAATAAAAACCATAATTGTAATTCAACAAGTTTATGTAACCTGTTAGTCCGCTTGCCAGTCGCCTAGTAAAAAACGGGATCTCCATTGATGTCGGCTTCGACAACTTCAGACAAGTAAGATCAATTGTTCGTTTTTTTCAGTCTTACTATTCCTGCAAATATTCTTTAATTGTTATAGGTGCCATGGATTTTAACATAAGAACAACTTGACCCGCGTTAAACCCAAACCATGCGTGCAAGGCAACCATCATTCTACACACGGTTACTCAACGAATACCGTACTCTACACCAAAAATACATTGTTTTATTTCATATTAGTTGTGTCTGTGTCAGTGCTGTATTTGATTTCACATGTTTGGTTCGATCTTGTTTATGGTGGACATTATTACTACGTGTATGTATTATTACCAATTTTATGTGGCAGTGTGATTCACCGTATTTTTTCAACGGTCGTTCTATAAATTTCTGATTGTATTTATTTTTCTTTTAACATCATAAAAACAAAAATGATACACTTGTACATGAAACAATAGGTAATGAACTGTAAATGCGGGCGGATGCATTGTCAGACGAACGTGCAAGTGGATACTCATGAATTTGTGCAGTCAGAAAAAAAAGCGGAAATTGTCCGGTCGAATTGAACAAAGTGAGCGAAAAAAAAGCGATCAAAATCCGGAAGCGGGCGGGAGGTTAGGCGAAATGAGTAGTGTACATACCTTGAAGTCTTTCATTGCTTGTGTAAATTCCAACTGTCTGCTTCCTGGGGATGCCATGTTATTTGTCATTGGAGGTTGACCACCACTTGAATTTTTACGATGCTTGCTCTTTTTTTTACCAGTAGAAGGTGGTTGGGGCTCTGGTGCCATCGCCATGGTTTTGCAATGCAATATTTAGTTAATAATTGAAATATATCTCTGATAAGTCAGTATATTGCCAATAAACATGTCCTTGCTTAAAGGTACATCACCATTAATCGTTTTCATATGTTGTTAAAAATGTGCCAATTTAGTAGATTATTTCTGAAAATGAAAAATCAGTTGAATTATATGAAAAAAACATGTATGAAATAGTGAAATTTCTGTAACACAATGGTTAAATTAGTCAAATGGAAGAATTCTAAATAATAATATATTATTATTATTCAATTACACAGACAAAAACACACAACCAGGGACATTGCTCATTCTACTAGTCACACTTTGGGATAAATGTAAGTCTGATTAATTACACTATATATCTAACAATATATTACCGTTTTTATCCGGGTATAAGCCCAGGGTCTTGAACATGGAAAATTGCCAAAAAGAAGGGATGGGCGTTTGCCAGGAGATCCCCGGCAAAAAAAACGAATAAATGAACAATATGCAACACTAGAAGTAAAACAAAAATAATGTATTGCTTATAATGTGACAAATAAACCAGAAATAATAAAAATCGACACTGAGAAATCATTTGAATTAGGATTTTCCCGCCGACAAACACGTGAACAAATACGCGTGAACTCAAAATGAATTTAAATGTCAGGGGTTAAACTGCATAAAATGATTTCCGGTCTCGACAAATTACGAATCAACCGTTATGCAAGATCAATAATAATTTACAAATTTACACAGTAAAAATCATAAAAATTCATAGCTGTTTGAAAAAAACTTCTCAGATCTTTATTTGTACGTTCTTTGTCATCTTCGCCAAACTCAAAACCCTCAAATGTCCACTGTAGCCGTCGAACAAAATCCCTACAACTTATTCCTGAAGTTCGTCAATATCGTCCCACGCAATTTGGACTTAGCACTTTTAATCCACGGATTTCGCAGTCTGTCAGCTTGGCACTTTTCATTCATGTCTAATCATAATAAAGAGACAAGAAAAATGGGGTCGCTCTGCTGCGATGGCACACGATGCTTTTGTTTTACAGTCTAGCAATCATCTTTGACCTTTATGCATCTGCTTTACTGATTGGCTAAGAATGACATCACTACTAGTATTTCATCATAAAGGTCAAATCGTGACATTGCTTTCTTAATAACAGACTCGACGTGGACTTGAAATAGGAAGTTTTTTTTTATCCAACGACAGAAGAATAGTTTTCATGACAGAAATGCAATAGCGGTGATAAAAGATGGTAAAAAAGTTGGCAGTCTTCGGCGCGACATTGCAAAATTGCTGGCCCAGTTATGGATTCGCAAGCTGCTACAAAATATTTATAAAGCCAAAATTATGGAAAGCCATGACTGTCTTAAGTAGCAAACTATATTATCGTGATGCTCATTGGCATGTTATGATGTCCATTAAATATAACATGATGTACATTCATCATATTATGATGTCTATTTACCATATTATGATGTCCATTCACTATATTATGATGTCCATTCACTATATATATTATGATGCCCATTCACTATATTATGATGCCCATTCATCGTATTATGGTGCCCATTCACTATATTATGATGCCCATTCACCATATTATGATGTCTATTTACCATATTATGATGTCCATTTACTATATCGTGACGCTTATTTACTATACTGTGATGTTCATTCGCCATATTATGATGCCCATTCACCATATTACGATGCCCATTCACTATATTATGATGCCCATTCACCATATTATGATGCTCATTCACCATATTATGATGCTCATTCACCATATTATGATGCCCATTCACCATATTATGATGCTCATTCACTATATTATGATGCTCATTCACTATATTACGATGCCCATTCACCATATTACGATGCTCATTCACCATATTATGATGCCCATTCACCATATTACGATGCCCATTCACCATATTACGATGCCCATTCACTATATTATGATGCCCATTAACTACATTATGATGCCCATTCACCATATTACGATGCCCATTCACCATATTACGATGCCCATTCACCATATTATGATGCCCATTCACCATATTATGATGCCCATTCACCATATTACGATGCCCATTCACTATATTACGATGCTCATTCACCATATTATGATGCCCATTCACCATATTATGATGCCCATTCACCATATTATGATGCCCATTCACCATATTATGATGCCCATTCACCATATTATGATGCCCATTCACCATATTATGATGCCCATTCACCATATTATGATGCCCATTCACCATATTACGATGCCCATTCACCATATTATGATGCCCATTCACCATATTATGATGCCCATTCACCATATTATGATGCCCATTCACCATATTACGATGCCCATTCACTATATTACGATGCCCATTCACTATATCATGATGCCCATTCACCATATTATGATGCTCATTCACCATATTATGATGCCCATTCACTATATTATGATGCCCATTAACTAGATTATGATGCCCATTCACTATATTATGATGCCCATTCACCATATTATGATGCCCATTCACCATATTATGATGCTCATTCACTATATTATGATGCCCATTCACCATATTATGATGCCCATTTACCATATTACGATGCTCATTCACCATATTATGATGCCCATTCACCATATTATGATGCCCATTCACCATATTACGATGCCCATTCACTATATTATGATGCCCATTAACTACATTATGGTGCCTATTCACCATATTATGATGCCCATTCACTATATTATGATGCCCATTCACCATATTACGATGCCCATTCACTACATTATGATGCCCATTCACTACATTATGATGCCCATTAACTATATTATGATGCCCATTAACTATATTATGATGCCCATTCACCATATTACGATGCCCATTCACTATATTACGATGCCCATTCACTATATTATGATGTCCATTCATTATATTATGATGCCCATTCACCATATTACGATGCCCATTCACCATATTACGATGCCCATTCACTATATTATGATGCCCATTCATCGTATTATGGTGTCCATTCACTATATTATGATGTCCAT